ATACAATATAAGAACTGTAAAATGACAAAATACTGCTTATCAAAACTTGAAGAATACAACTAAAGGTTGAAATTACATTAAAATTAAGAACTGTTGAACAAAAGACAATCATCAAGAAAGTATAAAAACAAGCTACAAACTGAGAAGACATACTCAACTCATATAACTATAAAGAATTCCTACAAGTCAGTAAGAACTAGACAATCTAATAGACAACTGAGCAAAAGACACGAACCAGCATTTTTACAGAAGGGGAAAAACAAATTGTCCATAAAGTTATGAAAAGAGACTCAACTTTTAGCAATCAGGGAAAGCGAACAAAACCCACAATGAAGTATCATGTCACACTCACTGGACTGGCAAAAAATTTAAGGCCAGATGGTACCAAATGTTGTCAAGGACGTGGAGCAAGGAGGAGGCTGGTGTGAGTGTAAATTGATACAAATATTTTGGCAACAGTGACATTTCCAATAAATCTGGAGATGTGTGTACCAAGTGACAAGTATTCCATTCCTTGGTATATGCCCCAGAAATTGTACGTGCCCATGTGCATGTATAATAAGAGACATAAGAATGCTCGTTGTAGCTTTCCTTATAATACTAAAAAAAGTAGAAGCATTCAAATATTCATCAAGAGTAGAATGGACAAATAAATTGCAGTAAATTTACAGAATAGAATATTATACAGGACACACGTCAAATCAATGAATCCAGCGATGATTTTCAAAATACTTAATAACGGGGCAGCACAGAAACTGACCAATCAGAATGTACACTAAGTAAAAACAGGTACAGTCATGCTAGTGCACACCAGCTGAATACAAACAATGTGTGAATCTAAAACAACATACGGTCAACTGAAAGAATTAGGTCACGAGAGAGAATACATGCTATGATTTCAAAACCAAATAATATATTGTTCATAGATAGAGGCATATGTGGTAAAACTAAGAAAAGAGCGGTTAACAAGAAATCAAGACAGTGGTACCCTGTGGGGGTAGGGAAGCAATGTCATGAATAAAAAAACAGAAGCTTCTGTTTTTGAACTGGTTCTAGTTCATTTCTTAATCTAGAAGTTAAACATGTTTACCTTTAAATGATACTCATTTTACACATTCTTTTGTATATACATTTCAAATTTAAAAATTAAGAAAATAAAATCTTAGGAAATGAATATTAAGTAATTAAGTAGCTCACAGAATCAGGAAGGCTGAAGAATCAGCCTCTGATCTATGTAAGGAGAAGCAAGGTCTAAAACCGTGCCAAAACACAAGTCTGGTGAGCTAACTGATGCTGTCACTGGTGAGCATCACACTACAGCTTGCAGCACCTCCTTTTATTATATACCAGGGACCTTGATCATCCTACAAATACTACTGCTGGTAATAATCCTCCTCAGGTCCTGATTTTTAAATCATTAATCCTGAATGCAAAACTAGCAAAGATTCATCTAGTAAGAGTCCACGCCACTTGCCCACAACTTAGCTGCAAGGGAGGCTGGAAAAGTGAGTATCTGGCACTCCATTTCTTTTAATTGGGCACCTACTATGAGCTATACCCAATTCTAGATACCGGGATGCAATTGCAAAGAAAATCCCCATCTTTATAGAATTTACATCCTATAGGGGTAGGTAGGAGGTAGTCAGACAACTGAAATAAACACCTCAAAGAGACTCACTTGGCGGAAGACACTACAAATAGAGGAAGGTTCAAATACTGGGCAGCTAAAAAGAATAAATGTCTTCCACATAACATGTATGGTTTATGTGACCATCTATAAATATATAAAATGGAACTATTAGGATAAAGAGAATACAAACTTAAGGCTTTTGATACACATTGCTAAATTTCTCCTCAAAAAGGTTACACAAATTTATACTCCCATTACTAGAGTATGAGTAATTCATTTCCCCATGGTCTTCTCAAAAATTCTCTTTAATATTTGCAAATTGGAGAAGAAAAATATCATTGTTATTTTCAGCTGGGTTTCTTTGCTTCTTGTTTTATTTGTATTTCTTCTTTTGTAAATTGCTTGTGCATATCCATTGTTCATTATTCAATGGAGATATTAATCTTTATTTTTAAAGGACCTTTGCCTATCATATATGTTGTGAATACTTTCCCCAGTTTGTCATTTGCCTTCTCACTTTATAATGAGTCACTGTATTAAAAAGTTCCTGTTTAACAATCACAGTATTCATTGTTTTTTAAAGTTTGATCTACCGATCTTTCTCTTTTATAGTTTTTCCCAATTGTTTGTCTTTTCCCAACTCAAGGTTTTTACAAGAGTCACGTATTTTCTTCTGGTTGAATATAGCTTAATTTTTCTACATTTAACTCTTCAATCCTAACATTCCACTATCATTTTCCTCCAGCTATTCCTGGACCATTTATTGAATAAGTGGTTGTTTTTCTAGAACTGAAACGCTACCTTTTAAATACAAAATAGTCTATATGCTTGGTTATTTCATTTCTTTTCAATTCTATCATGCTCTCTCAACTTGCATCACCACCACTGATTGAATCATTACATTATTGTGATGTTTTAATATGTGGCACTCACTGTAAGCCTCCCACTTTCATTTTTTTCAAACATTTTCTAAATTGATCCTTTTCCCCTTTAAGTTCATATCCAAAACAAATAGGAAGTTAAGCATAAAAAGTTTAGGGCAAAATATAGTAACATCAATTTTATTATGGAAAGAAAATCGTTCATATGAGTAAGCCCTAAGAGGAAAGCATATCATATGCAAACATGATAAAGCACTGTGCTTTTCCTCCAAAACTTAGGACAACTACTCACAATTTTTAAACGTTCTTGGTGGCAGCACTAAAGTCTGTATGAATTTTAGTAAGTGGAAAGGATAGGGAAAGAATATTCTGGCACCAATTAAAATTGACCACTTACTTTTTTTGGCATTGCTACTTTTACCTCTAGAGGTAGGGCTGTTTTAAGATATAATGTCCTTTAGAATATGTTCAACAATATATTAATAAGTAATTTAGACAGATACATGAGAGCCATTCAAAAGTTTTAGGATGTATATTTGTCAATTTTAAAAACATAGAAAACTGTGATTGTAACATACAATCTGGAATCATTTGATCATTATTCTTAAGTACTGACTACTGGATTACCTCCAGATGCCAGGGCCTTTCAGCTATCTTCTGCTCAGAAGAATCTGAATAAAACATTGTTGGGAGAATTCTACTTTTTGTCATGATATGTCATGTCTTATTTTATGCCTCCCACTCTCCCTTTCCTTCCAGTTATGCCTTAGACATAATCTAACTGTTCATAATCCCTAGAATTTTAAAAGTAGTATACTCGATCTAAATCTGTGTGGTACTTTCCAGGGTGGCTCTTACAGCACACTATTCATTGGATCAACAAGTAATAGGAAAAGAAGTAATTTTCTTCACTGACTGCCACCTGAAGACCTGGAATCTTATCTATTACATAATTTTCAAGATTAAAATGAGATATAAAAAAAATCAGACACTTCATTTATGGGCCCAAAAGAAATCTAAACTGTCACCAGGTATAAGATATTACAGATTACTATTTTAAGTGAAATTTTTCTTTGCTTAACAATATTAAGAAACAAAACAGCAGATAAAATTTGACACCTCTACAGTTCCAAGTAGCAGAGCTCAAAAACAATCAAAATATTTCTTCTGCATAAAACCATCATTATATCTAGACTACCTTTTCATCAAGAACAAGTGGAAATGTTAGACAGTAAGAAAACAGTCACCTAATTTGTTCGCTTATCATAGAAAAAAATAGCCTTTGGAAATCCAATATACTTAGGTTGGAAACAGCTGCCTTTGAGGTCAAATGGCCATTCAAGTTATTCACTTGCATTGGCTCATCGTCCTGATTTTTAAAACGGAGTATTACCTTACAAGGTATGGCAAGGATTATATAGATTAGGGGTATGAGAGTTCCTAGCCCATGCCAGGTATAGTAGGCACTCAAAGGTTAGTTTCAATTTTCCCATCCTGATACTACAAATTTAAAAAACGCACACACAAAACCACAAAAACCAACTTGGATCTGATAATCATTCAATATAGACAGTATGTACTTTATTTCAGTGAGTGACTCAGTTCTGTTACATCTGTCACATAATAAATAGTATTGAGACAGTCAGAAAATGCAGATTCTACTTCTAGTAAAACTTCCAAATGGCTCACTTTTTTTTTTATCTGTGATCTAAAGGGGTTGGCATATATTCCTGAACTGTGTTCCAGCTTTAGAATCCTTGATTCTATAATCCTATGATTATAGAAACAAAACACACATTCAAACCTCCAGTGTAATAAGAAATTTTAAGCATACTTTCAGTATATTGTTGCTAATGAGTCTATTTTGAGACTTGAAAAAAATTTCGTTAATTACCCATTTGGCAATTGTGACATCTCCAAATAAATGTGGAGATGTGTGTACCAAGTGACCCAGCACTCCATCCCTTGGTATATAAACCCTAGAGTGCACATACCCTTGGTAAAGGAATGCCACTAAAAATTACATAGAAGTATTTAAATACTTCAGTGATTTCGTTCTTTTATTTCCAATCGCGCCGTGGCGATAAGGAAATGTTTACAAAATAATACAGCACGGCGTCCTCGGTGAACTTTTAGGTCTCCGCAAGCATTTAAAGAAGATAATAAATCGCGCAGTAACTGGTTTAGTGTTGGGCAAGCCGGGGTTATTGGACAGCTGCGGGGGTGGGGGAGACTGGAGAGTGAGAAGTGCCCAGGAGCAGGGTTTGAAGGCTTTCGTAGTGGAAGCAACCGCGGGGTGGCGTCAAGCCCTTGCACGGCTGGGAGAGCAGCCGACAGCGGAGGGGCTGGGGCAGGCGCGGGGGGCGCCCCGGCCGCGGACCTGCCCCCGCGTCGGGGCCGGGTGTGGGCGGGCGCTCGGCGGCCGCTCGGGCCGAGACTCCAGGCGGGCTTCCAGCGCGAGTCCGCCCCGTCCCGCCTCTTCCCCTTACCACGTAGCCCCCCCACACGTAGAGGAAGTTTCCGTCCACCACCGCGCAGTGACCGCTTCGCTCCTCAGCCACGCAAAACAACTGCGAGTCCTCCATCGCGCCGTCGCTGGGCCCAGCCGCTCGGTGCGCCGCAGCCCCTAACCACAGAGCGGCCTCGCCTCCCGCTTGGCTCCTCCACGCACGAACGGAACGCGTCGAGGGTCGAGATTGGTGGGCGAAGCGGAACCAGTGCGTCTGCGCCGTCCCGCAGCCCGCCCGGAAGCTGAGCCAGTTAGCTATGCCTTGGGTCTTAGCAGGGAGTGAGGTACCCTGGCTTCTCCGGACCCTGCCACCGCTGATTTCGTGGCCCTTGGGACTGTGTTGTTTGGACGATACAACCTAATTCTATATTCACTGTATAAATGGACTTCTGGTCCACGGGGTTTGATGCAGCTGTGCATAAATAAACTTATTAATACTTTGTGAGGGTTTGCCTTTTCCATTCAACCTCCAGCAGAGATGGTTAGCCACAAGAAGTGTGTGTGTGTTTAATATAAATACATATTTTTTAAATTAGGAATTTTCTAAAACATGCCAGCAAACTGCAGCCTAGAGGCCAAATCCTGTTTGCCACCTGTTTTTGTAGGGCCAGAAAGCTAAGAACGTTTTACAGTTTTGAATGGTTGAAAAAAATCAAAAGAATGTTATTTCATAACTCATGAAAATGACATGAATTCAAATTTCAGCATCTGTACATAAAATTGTACTGGCACACAGTCACCCTAATTCACTTACTTAGGTGTTATCTATGGCCACTTTTACACAGCAACCACAGAGTTAAATAGGCAGAGCTGAGTAGTTGCAACAAAGATCATATAGCCCACATTGCTGAAAATATTTACTATCTGGCCCCCTATAGAAAAAGTTGGCTAACACTTGTTATAAAAATGACATCACTGATGGAAGACTAAAGTGGGGTTTGGTGGGTGGAGATAATTCTACCTTTGCCTGTAAATGTACTTGTCCAGAGCCACCTTTAGAAAAAATTGTGGCTGCCCACTCAGAACAAGTTAATTAATTCATTTATTCAGTATATAAGGTGTGACAAAAAATACGGTGAATATGGGTTGGTGGAGTGGCACATTGGTTAAGAGTTGGCTTGGGATGCCATCTCTGAGCAGCAGGGCCTGGTTTGGATCTCACATGAGGGCCAGTGGCATTGCGCCCTCTACAGCTAAGATGATGAACAACAGCTCGACCTGGAGCTGGGCTGTGGTGAGTCACCGGTGACAGCGTAGGCTGCAGCCCCTGCTGCAGTGGGCTGCTGTGAGCTACCATGAGTGGCTGGCAGCCGGTGTGAGCTGGCGTGAGCTGCCGTGAGCGGCCGTCCAGTGGCGGGCGAGTGACTGCCTCACCCGGGAAGAGCGCAATCATAATACCAATATGGGCCGGTGAGCTACGGTTGAGAGAAGGTGTGTTTTAAAGTGTGCCATTCGTAAATCATCCTCTATCATGACAACGCTCTATGTCACACATGGCTTCTGGTATACGGCAATATCTGTCAAATAAAAGCAATACGGTGTATCCTCATCCACCGTATTCACTGGATCCTGCACTGTGTGACTTCTGGCTCTTCCCCAAAGTCAAAATGACAATGAAAGCTAAATGTTTTGAATAGATTCAGGACATCCAGGCAGCCACGACAGTGCAACTGAAGACACTCATGAAAGAGGAGTTCCAGAACTCCTTCAGAAAGTGGCAAGAACAATGGAATGAGTGTGTTTGAAGTGAGGGGGAGTATTTTGAGGGGGATTAATGGCAATGTGTCTTTTACTGTAATAAATTTTTTAAATTTAAACATTCACCGTATCTTTTGACCACACCTTGTATTTGTGATGCAAGTTTGATACTTGGCTAAGGTGGAGAACTCTGACGATCCATTTTAAATGTAAGTTTTGCCTTTGTATCATTAGCCAACAATCTGGAGGGTGATACTTTGGGACTGTGCAAATATCCTGTTCTCTGTAACTTTTACTTAATGGTTTTAGCATTTTATGTTATTTTCTTCACTCTCCTGCCCATAATAACCAATTGTTCCTTGTTTATCCATCTAGTGGTTAAGCAGATACAGTCAGTCTTCATTATTTGTGCATTCTATATTTGTGAATTCACCTACTCACTAAAATTTATTTGTAACTCCCAAATCAATATTGGGGGCCTTCACAGTCATTGGCGAACATTCGCAGAGCAGTGAAAAATTTGAGTTACAATCATACATGTTCCCAGGTGAGTTTGAATAAGATGACATTCTGCTTTCTTGTTTCATCTCTCATACTATAAACAAGTGGGTTTTTTGAGGTACATTTAGTGCCACCTTTTCTGCATTTTGTGATTTTTGTTGGTGATCTTGCTGTTTAAAATGGTCTCCAAGCATAGTGCTGAAGTGCTGTCTAGTGCTCCAAGGCACAAGAAGGCAGTGATGTACCTTGGAAAAAATACATGTGTTAGATAAGCTTCCTTCAGACGTGAATTATAGTGCTGTTGGCCCTGAGATCAATGTTAATGAAACAGTGATATATATTAAAGATGTCTTTAAACAGAAACACACATAAAACAAAGTTATGTATTGATCAGTTGATGAAAATATTGTGACGAGAAGCTCACAGGAACCTAACTAACCTTATGTTTCCTCTAGGAGCACTGATTGAATATTTGCTAAATCAGAGTTGGTGAGGACTATACAGAACATAACTACCTCAAGTAATGAGCATTGACTGTATGATTATCTATTTTTATTTCCTTTCCTTTCTTAAAGTTCAAAATTTCTTTGCAGTTATTTTTGTCTTTAGAATATATTTCATTGAAAATATTCAAAAAATCACTTTTCTCTGTGATGTCATGTTACCAATTTAGTATACAGTTAGGTATTGCTGGTTTTGGTATGTTTTCAGTTTTGTTTACTTTTTTCTATTTTTTTGAATATGTAAAACGTTATGAGTCAACAGTTAAAGCTTTCACTACAAAGTTCTCACTTCCATCCTTATCCCTTCCTGCCCTTTATGGTTAACCATTTTTTAGTGTCTCGTGTAGCCTTCCAGGTATTTTTAAATGCAAAAACAAGCATATATATATTTCCCCTCCTTTACCATGCTTTTTTTTTTTTTAAGTTAACCATATATTCAGGAGGTACCATACATCAGTACTTCAAAGTTGTCCTCACGTTTTATAAGGCTGTATGTTCACCTTTAAGCACTCCGTGGTTTTTTTTCAACTCACTGGAGTAAGTCTTTTGAATTTGGAAGATTAACAGTCTACTTGCTGGAATCAGATTGAGTTCGTATCCTGGTTCCACCACTGGAAGGTCGAGGGCAGCGATGAGAGAGGGGTTCAGAGATGTACTTTGGGATAAGGGAAGCACATTCCCAACCAGATACCAGGGAAGGTTGCGCTAGTCCTTCAGTCTCCGGCAACAAAGGAGTGTAGGGTCGTCTCCTCCGGCAGCCCATATTGTCCAGGGATGCAGCCCGTAAGGGACGAGGAGCTGCAACGCTCTCCGCTAGACATGCACAAGGTCGGAGACAGACCACGCGGCTCCCCTGCTGGACTGTGGCAGGGGCGGGGCCGGTAAGGGGCGGGGCCGGTAAGGGGCGGAGCCTCGGCAGTGGCGCCAAAACACGAACATGGCGCCTGAGCGCTTGAGGAGTCGTGCTCTCTCGGCTTTCAAGCTGCGGGGCTTGCTACTCCGTGGGTGAGTCGGCCTGGGTAGCTTGCGGGGCGGGAGGGGAGAGCCAGAACCAGGCTGGCGCTCGGGGCAGCGGGACGCGCCGCGCATCAGGAGGGGGTTTGGCCTTAAATGACAGAGACCTTAAAAAGCTCTAAGAAGCGAAGTGCTTCTGGCCCGGTAGTCTGGCTACGATGCCTTCTTAGGTTTCCCCAAAGTTCGCGCAGGGTCGAAAAGTTGCTCCTAGGCGCGTCGAGGCTCTCCGGTAGCTGCCAAACTGAGCTTCAGTAGCAGTTTATTAGCACTGTGACTTAGACACCTCTCAGCACCCCTCCGAAGTTTTTGCCTCCGCAAAATGGGAATCACAGCAGCGCGACTTGACGTAGTTACTGAGACCTCAAATGAGAGGCCTGGGAAAGCCCATATGCTTGTCAGCAGCTGTCAACTTTTATTGTTGCAGAAATTGTAGGTCCTGCCAATCTTTCCAATTTTGGGTCCTGGAAAGTTAAAAAGTGGGTAGGTTTGAAGCATGTTCCTAGGTCTCCTCCCCCTCTCTCTCTCTCTTTTTTTTTTAAAGATTTTCTTTAGAACGTCTCTGATAGGTTTCCTGGCCATATCTAGGACCTACAAGAAGAACCTTTCCAAGATTTTTCTCATTAATTTTTTTTTTTAGATATTTTTTTTACATATTTGAATACGTGCCAGATGAGATGTACTTTTCTGTACCAGGTTTTGATTACTCTTGTGTGTGGAGAGTGTGTTTTTGTAGTGAAGAGTTTTTTTGTTTTTTTGTTTTTTTAAAGATTTTTATTGGGGAATTGGGGGGATGGGAACAGTGCTGGGGAATTGGGGGAAGGGGAACAGACAAGTTGCT